TTTTTTTTTTTTTTTTTTATTTGTACAAACTAAAAAACGACTTTAAATAATCAGAAGAGTTGTCGTAATACCAAATTGAACTAAGATTCTTCAACAAAATAAAATCAAGTTGTTATTTAATAATGAAACGGGTCAAATTAATTACGATTAATTATGAAATCATAATTATAATTGACTTTGTTTTTTCTTTGAACTGCTGCAAGCTTTTCTTCGATTTTGTTATGAAGCGAATAGTTGGCTTAATAGTGGAACCAACCTTTTATATACAATAAATAAACCTACCATATTAATAAAATTATATTAATATTATTTAAGTAATCATAGAATATAAAGTTTACTTGTTGTATGTAGAAGATTGGCTCAAATATGGAACCGGCCAACTGTTTGGCTCCATAGAAAAACCGAGCTTTTAAATAATTGTTCATATATATTAGTCCTAGATTGACCTCATGAGCGTGTCTAATTTCTATTCAAGCAAAGACTTAATTGGCTTATATTTTTTTTATTATTTATTTGATAAAATATAACAATAAGTTATATTAAATCACGCAGTTTTTATGCTTTCTTAATTTATAAAATAACTTATGAATAATATTAGGGTTCAAAATTGCCAAATAATATCACAGAAAGTCTACTATTAAATTAGAAAATAACTTATGAACGTGTGAGCCTGCCCACATACGAGCCAGGTTTGAACTTGATCAAATTCGGACCTATCAATGGGCTCTTATTATGTTCAAGTGGTGGCCCTGATTCACTAAAGAAGGCCGGCCCCATTCAAGAAAGCATCGCCTTCCGAGCGCCATTGCCGCTTTTTCCTCTCGTCGAGTGTCGAGTAATCACGGCGAGTCACCTGAGTTAGATAAGTCGATATTTTGTGTACACGACGATTAAAAAAAAAAATATTGTAGGTATTCTGTTGGCATATATCTTAGTAAACTGTTGGTAATTTCTAGTAAAATAGCTAGAGAAATATTTAACTACAAATATTGACATTATGTTTGCATGTTATAAATAATAATTAAAAAATTAAAAAAA